AAAAAAAAAAAAAAAGACAAGAATATTTTAATATATATTACTAGATGGATCAACGCAACTTTACGCAAACACTAAGCGCATGTAAAATACGGATGCATAATTAATCTTTAATAATAATTCCAGATGACGCTCCATATAAATATATATATATATATATATATATATATATATATATACACCAATTCTTAGTTGAATGGACTCATAGAGTGGGTAGTGGGTAGTGAGGGGTGCTGATAAGTGAAGCTGTTTTCGTTGGGTATTGACATAACTGACCCGTTAGTGGTGCCATTTTATTAGGTTAATTACGTATAATGAAACCATGCTAGCTTTAAAACAGGAATATTTGGAAACAGTGAAATGGAAGGTTTTTTTTTGTTTTGTTTTTTTTTTCTGGGTAAGGAATGTATTCTTTCGTTTGCATTTGGTGCGTAAATGATTAAGCGCAGGACAGCATGCAGTGAGAGCCCGTGGAAAAAAAAGGGTTGGGGGGGGGGAGACGAGAAAGAACCACTCTTGAATTATTATTATAGTATAGATCATGTCAATTACTAGTGTAATACTACTTTGTGTTTAACTTAATAGGAAATTATTAAATTGTCAACAGAGCCGCAAATCTCATTTATAATTTATTGCCTTATTTTAATTTAATATAATTATTAAAATCTCATTCTACCTTGTTTTATAGTCATTAATTTCTTCTAAATATCTATTTTTATTTAATATACCTTTATCTATATAGTTTATACTGATTAAAATATTGTATGACATGAGTAACCTAAAAGACCAACACTAATTTCATTGTTAACAGCACAGGTTTCAAATTGAATCTTCATCTTACCATTTCAATTCATGTATTCCTAAACTGTCTTGAACATTACTCCTGGGTACTGGGTAAATCAATGTAAGCTGAATTTATACTTTGTAGTACAGTAATTTTGAATGTGCTCTTTAGAAACTATAGAAAACAAATATCAATATAAAACCAAGAAATTTGTCAATCCACAAATTGAACCAAAAAAATACATTCAAGTAATTCAAGATTTATTTTTATTTATCATTTAAAATAATGAATGACAAGTAACATTTTTAAAACATTATAAAAAATAAATATATTTGTTTAACACAAATGAAATATGAAACAATACATTTAAACAATTATGATACCATTTAAATTAAATGATAAAATTTTGAAATATGTAAAATAATATGTAGTATTGACATTAATTATAAGCTTCTTTTTTACATTTACCACTACATTTCAGTGAGAAATAAACATATTTAAACAATAAAGTTTTGATGAATGTCTTTATGTTTTGCTAAATAAACTTATTTAATTATCAAGAAATAAAATAAATGACATGACAAGACAGCTGAGCTCTTTTAATTAGCAATTACAAATTGTTAATTTTTAAGGTTGTCAGAGAATTGCACCAACTAAAATTTTAAGAAAAAACTGAAGGGCTTTCCATCATATTCTAGAATTGCAAAAAACAGCAGCTGTTTACGAATGTCTTTTAAATTTAATAATAATATTTAATATTATATAAAAAAAAAGACTATTAAAAAAAAATAGAAAAATATATATTTTCTGAAATCTGTTTGTTATCAAAAAGATATTTTTATGAGAGCATTAACTGCCTTGACAAGAAGATTCACCAATGGTCCTGACAAGAAGATTGACCAATGGTCTTGACAAGAAGATTCACCAATGGTCTTGACAAGAAGATTCATCTATGGTGTTGACAAGAAGATTCACAAATGGTCTTGACATGATTGTTAACATTTGAGTATTTTTAGTCTCCCACGAATCCTGTTCTTAAGTAGCCAACCTGAAATATATTTAAGAAAAATGAAAAATTTTTTTAATTAAATTATGTGCACTGCTTATACTTCGTAATGTTTAAAAGGTACAATATATATATTAAAATAAGTTAAATTTGTATAATTTAATTTAATTTAATATCTTTACCAGACATAAAAGTATGCCAGTGTGGTGTTATACCATACTTATTTCTTCTAACACAAATGAAAAAAATAAACCAACCAGGTTGTACAAATGTATAAAATTAAAAAATGTGTTACAATTCTAACAAACAACAACACACCAATTAATTTTTAAAACACATGTGTAATTATTTTTAATTCTGATCAGTATGAATATTGCAACACAACCATTGCAACCAAATTACCAGAAAACCTGTACTGTATCAGTCAACTGAAATTTAACACTAAGAGCATAACAATCTAGGGACAAAAAATAATGGATAAAACCAGGAGGAGGGAGCTCATCCAATCATATTTCTCAGGTGCTGATTTTAAGTATACATGTTGCAGGAAAGTGCAAACCTTTTTGGTCTCAGCTGTAATTATCATAATACCTCATTTTTGGACTTCGTGTCACTTTTCATTTTTGAACTTTGCGTCAACAATTGTAACCCCTACAACACCTTTCCAAACATATTGTTTCTGGGTTCACCCCTGGCACAAATCAAATTCTGGATCATCTGACATGTGTTAGCTTAAAGCAATAGATTTTTTAACAACTTCAATATTTATAATACAACTCTATAAAAAGTCCATTCTCACCTTAACAAGTGAAACTCTTCATAAATCTTAATCTTGAAACTTTTACTTACATGAAAGCCATTTAAACTTCGTTGTGACAAAGTCAGTTCTTTGGTACTGGCAATTAAAAGGCTGATTAGCTGTTTGCATAAGGGATATGGTAATGAAATTCCATGGACAGTATTGTCCCTTTCCCAGGCTTTGAACACATCTGGTGCTGTAGATTTTCTAAAGAATTAAAAGTATCTAAAAAGTCAAAGTTTAAAAAAAAATGCCAGTCAGTTGGTTTTTTTTTATTTGCTTGGTCATTTTAAAAAACTAATGCCTGTTTTTCATGGCAAATATAACTGGCAATTTTCATCAATTTTTATTCTAACACAGAGGCCAAATTGCTAAATAAAACGCAAAAATTTTATTTTATCTAGATAATAGCAAATATTAAACAAAAGAAGGGAAACTGAATTAAAGGAAAAATAAAAGCTGTAGAGTGTTTAGACTTGTACTCTTACATTATACTTATAATTTTTTCTAAGATTGATGATTTAAAATTAATGCTTTATTTTTCCAAAATATATGTTGATAATTATTAAATAAAATTGCCCAGTACAGAAAATTGCACATATGTTAAGGAGATCTAAAAGTTTTAGATATCACATTAAATATGAAAAAGGCATCTATTAAGAACATCAGCCTAACTAATAAAAATCATTTAAGAACGTAATGATTAATACTACATAAAGATAAGCATAAAGTAATGGTACTTTGTGGCTAAATTTATGTATATTTCAATGAAAGAAACTTGTTTCCTTGGGATCATCATATTTTTGCTTTCAATGTAAACAATGCAAATAAGATTCCAGAGTTTTATCCTGTACCTTGGTGATTTTCCTGCAGACACTTCACCAAAATCAATTTTTAATTAAAGTATTTTTTCTTTGTTTTTAACAAATGATTGAGTAATTTAGAAAATGAGCAAACTAAAGGACTTACACTGTCTGAGATTCATTGAGTGGCTGGAAAGTGGCTTTATACAAGAGCTTCATACTTTTAAGTGGCACAATGTCAGGAGCAATGTAATGTGATTGATTATTATCCATGGTTGATGGGGATGAACCAGTTGAAGATGATGATTTCATTTTATTTGACGATGAGGTAAATACAGACAACTCCTGATCTAGCAACCACAGCTTTGAAAATTAAGTAAACAGTAAAAATTATCTGAGATCACAACAATATGAAATTGAACACCATTATTCTAATTTATTCTTTCACATTCACAGAAAATACATTGCATTGTACATGATTTGTTTTTAGTTAGAAGAATTCTACAAATAATCTTTTAATACACACTGTAATCATTGACACTAAAATAAAGAGACTTCACATTCATTACATTTGTCACATTTCAAGTCTCTTTTAAGTTATAGCTGTGTAAAGAAATGTTTAAATATTAATGTTTTGTACCGTACAATGTCTGGAAGCTGACCACTGAAACGAACACTACTTCTTTTTCAATACTATCAAACTCTAACCCATGTAAAGCTTTATCATTTGTAAAGTAAATTTAATTATGCTTGGTATTGGACACTAACCAATATAAGTACATTACTTTTCCCATCTTGCTGCAATGTTGAATTAATGATGAATCGAAAGCTTGTGAACATTCGGCTTTGGTCTTTCAACAGGCTGGAGATAAAGTCTTCTATAGACTGCTCTCGGTTACTGGAAAAGGTATATCTTATTAAATAAAATAAATATCCCCCCAACACCACTCTAAACCCAAAAAAAACAAAACAATCTTAACGGCAACATACAACCAAAGAAGAAGAAATAAAAAAGAAAATAAAAACTTCCATAAAATGTAAAAGCAGCTGGGCCACTTTGCTTACCAGAAAAAGTACTAAATAGTGGGCTTATAAAAGATTAAATAACTCAATAATGAGTTTATTGCAAACATTTTGAACACAGAAACAATTCCCCAAGTCAGGAGCAAAGTCTCATGATTTAGCTTATCTGGAAATTAGTACAGAGGCAATTTTACAATGAATGTTGTTATATAAGAAGTTATTTTGAGAAAAAGTAATGGAACCAAAAACACAAAAATAAAATTTATTAAAAAGTTTACATTTTCCATATTATTCACTTGCACCTTCCCTTAAAAAACAAATCTCCATTGAACATATTTCATTTTGAAAAAAAAATCCTTTTGAGCATCATTCCTTTTTACAAATAAATAACAATTATAAAGCCATTAAATGGAGACTTGCAGGAATCTGGAATTAAAGAGATATAAGCATACTCTCTGTGCCTACAACATTTTTAAACAGAATCTTGCCAGACAGCGTCAAAGGTAGCTTTGGCACCAGACTGAGTTTGAATACTTGAATTTAGACAGATCAAATTACTGGACAGGTTAACAAATGCTAAACTGTTATATTAGGAATATACTCTGTCAACAGAATATGACAGTGTGAAAAGGAATGGCAGGTGGAGCTAAGACACATAAACAAAATGCAAAAGCATCATCAGGCAGGTGTTGACATTGAATCCACAAGAGGCAAGAGAGGGCGGGAGTTCCAAGAAAACGTAAAAGAGACCAAAATAGGGAGAAATTGAGAGGGTGATATGGTGAGAGATCAATAATGTCCTAATCACCTTTAGAACTATGGATGATTTATGATATCATATAGAGTTCATGCTTTTTCAATAACCCAAATTTGCTTTAGACACATAATTTCTCTGACCGGATGGCAAAATGTAAAGGTGTACATAATTTTAAAATAATTGAGTCAATATAAATGACAGGGCTAATGTTGATGTGAAAATTATCTGCTTGCTGCTCTCTTACATGCAGTCTGATGTATTTTCTCCATCTTGAAGTATTTGTGTTGTACCTAAGGGCACTTTCGTACTTGAATCTCTGAAGCTGACAGCATGAAAATAGATTTTATATACGCCATTCAAAGGATCATGGAAGTATGAATGCACTGTTTGATCCCCACTATCTGCATCTGAAATATATAGATTTTTTTGTTCATGTGAGTTTCTTTTATATTACCAGAAAATTAAATCAGATACCGGTACTACATTTTTGAACACTCAACTAATTTATGTATTAGCTTGCTGTCTCCAAGATTTTGGGATGATAAAAATGAAATTGCTTTATTAAACATAATACTAAGAATAACAGCACACAAAATTATATTTAATTCACTGAAAGAATTAAATAATTATTTTATTATTATTATTATTAGTGGTGTTTGTAACAGACCAAGTTGTCTGTAATTTTGCACACGAAACTATTATGTCAGGACAGCGTAATGATTTGAGTAGTGAACAGTATTAACTAGCATTTCACGAGTAAAGAGAAGGGACTATGTTTTTATAGCGGAAGTGATCTGCATGTTTTAGTTGAACAGGGCAATACATCTTGGGTCTGATAGAAGAGAGGACGTATTTTAACTTTCTATCAAGTGAATTATTTTTCTATCATGCTGTGGAATATTATATAACTATGTGATAATTGCATTCTGGAATTGTTACCTGGATATTCATGCAAGGCATATTATTATTATTTAATGTGGTTGTAGAATAAATAAAGTACTGTGTTATTTTAATCATGGACGTTGAATCCTCATTGTGTGACAGGACAGTCAAGTTGAGTCGAGAAGTGAGAGGATTAATTAAATTACATTATGCAAGCAAGTGATAGCGTCATCCTAGACAATTAAATATAGTAGTAGTTAACCATGCTACACATCAAATAATTAGTGTGTGTTACAATAATACTACCCTGTCACTATCACTGCCCCACTTACTCCCAAGTTTGACAAATCCTATGAAATTGCCACATCGTTTGCATACAAGTCTATCTGCATTACACTGCACAGAGCAGGGCTTCACCTGCCTGGCACTGATGAGCATGTACAAGCTGCTAACTAAACAGTCCTCAAGCCTTGGAGTAAGTCCTGTGTCTTTAATTTTCTTGAATTGATCTGGGAGAGTGCTTTCCCCTGCATGAACGTGACAGGCATGATTGTGGTCTTTCCCATCGGTGTGATTATGGCAAAACCAAATGTCAGCAAAGTCTGACCAATTCTCTGAAGGCAGAGGAAGAACCCTTTTGAAATTACTGAGAACGACATCAAAAAATGTTATGTTCAAGAAAGCAAAGCTGAATTTTTAAATATTTCTTTTTATTTTTTAGTTTATTTAACATATATGAACACTCTTCTGTTGCTGGAATTGGAATTCGTTAAAATTTTATGGTTTCACTATACCCATTAACCGTTGTTAGTGATGCAGTATGATTTAGGATATATGACAGAATTATTTTATTTGTAGCATGTTGGCAAAAAAATTGCCCTGTGCAATAATTTCAAAATGGACTTTATTTTGAAAACATTTTATATTAGAGTTTTCTCTCTGAAACATTAGGTACTTCCTTAACCTTGGACTTTACTGTATTGATAAACAGCCAGTAACTTAATAAGGAGTAGTATTGGTATTTGGATCATCAATTACACCTGGGAGTGCTTAAGAAACTTAGAATCTTTTGGGTTTCCCTTACCACACTGTCTGAAATTTAGTCCATTTCAGACTCAAAAACAAGAAGGTGCTCAAGAAGTTAATTGTATCACACTGGTATTCAAATATCTCTTAAGGATGTTAGTGGATCATAAAGATTGTTATTAATACAGACCTGCCAAACTGCCAAGAAAAAAATCTGTAGGGGGGTGCGCGCCGGCACCTGGGGAGACGGCACTGGTTTAAGATCTACATACTAATGCATAGATGCCACAAGCCTTTTTTTAGTAAATAAAGAAATGTAAATGTACCTCCATTTCTTTGAAGAGTCCACAGAATACCACAAAACATGAGAAAAAAATTATTGGAAATGTTTATATACAGAACAGAATATCTATATATATTTTTTATTTACATATGTACACAGGCTGCTAAGAGTTCAGTTTTCCAGCATCTCCCTAGTGGCCTTTTTGTACTTGTCCAACAGCTCTTGGGGACAACTGAAGGTTAGCATTGCAATTGATTTTAGTTACAAGCAGGAGATATTCATCCGGAAGGCATGTCACGCTTTATTTAACAATGTCACTTTTTAACCATTTGTTCACATATATACAAGCAAAGGTTCTAGCATTTCTTTTGTTGACTTGAACATAGTTCTTTTTCATGTAATTGTCCAGACTATCTTGAATTTGTTGAAATGAAGTAACATAAACTCTGATCGACTATTAGCGGTCATGCGACAAGGCTGAGAACTTATTTGTCCGGTCGCTGGACATGTAGTAAAAAAAGGTAAAAACAAAGTAAGTGGCATCATCAAAATGCACCACCTGTTGTACCCGATTTTTTTTTTTAGTCACTTCAGGATTTTTATGACGGGTGAAAAATTATAATGTTCGGAAAATCTGAATTTTAAGGGGTTTGTTTGATGGTCGGAGGGGTAAAAAACTGTATAATTCCAATACAATTGGAAGCGTTGGCAGGTCTGTTACTATTAAGGTTGAAGAAACTCATTACAACAAAGAAGAAGGCTATTGAAGACATGAAATAAGATATAAAAGGGAACCAAAGAAATTAACTCCTTCAAAAAATTACCATGTAGATTTTAGAAGTTGTGCTCCACATCCAGCACAAAAGCAATGTGATTGTGAAACTTGTATTTTTGAGACTAGAAGATCTTGATTATAAGACTTGAATTTGTTCTCTGCAGCTGATGTACCATCTGCATCACTTCCTTTACCCTGTTCTGAATTCTATTGCAAAATTTATTGACATATTTAATAAATGTAATATTTTAAATAATGCTTTGAGAACATTGTTTCAAAATTAATTTTAAAAACATTATTTTTGGTAAAAGGTATTCCAAATAACTATACAGCTTCTTGTACATAACATAATTTATATTCACTGTGTAGAGACACTAATAAATTGACCCAAGTCTCTCTCTCTCTCTGAACCTTCTTTATTTACTTGTATCATTTATGTGAAATCTTTTTTACGCTTAAACTCAAGGACAAGTTTTCAATAACATTAACTAGAAAATATTCACTCTAGCACAGTTTGTAAAAATAATAATTTTCTATACCATCAACAATAAAACCCACACAACTGATTTTCTTTTCCATTTTTTTATATGCTTCTTAAAATCCACACATTTTCTTATGTCTTTGATAACTTTTTCATCAAAGATCTGTAACATTTGAAACTCCACATTAATTTTTTACCTCAAAAAAAATCATCTTATGATTCAATCAGAACCATGTTTAAAATTTTTAAATCATAATAGTGAGAGCTTCTCAAATATTTACTTATAAGTTAGAATAGTACTTTGCACAGTACTTTAAATAAATATTTTCATTAAAAAATAATGCAAACCCAATCTGCAAGAAGAGAAAGCTGGAGCTCTCTATCACTATTCCATCGAAGTCCTCTGCAAGATGATGGTTTTAATGTAAGTTGATTTACTCGGAATGTTATTCTCCATTCTTTTGTTTCCACAGACACACAGTGAATCTCAACATTTATTCGAGGAGAGGATGCTATAACAAAACTGTGAAATAAATGCAAACAAATAATTAATTTGAAATTATCACTTATATATTTTAGGAGTCATCCATATATTAATGTATTTACTGAGGGGTGGTTTTTATTATTATTTATTTTGGAAATTTTGCAGGTACATGGAAGAAGGGGGGGGGGGGGCATTTCATCCTAAAATTCTGAAAATATTGTTTTCATACTAATTTACGGTTAATTGAGGCAGTGCTAGAGAAATCAGAACTAGACATTTAGCTACTTCTAATGAAACATTCCCAAGTTTCAGTTATGACAACACAGACACAAATGATTTCACATTCGCATGTTCATGTTCTTTTAATCTTTATAATATATAACTATTATTTATATCAGGCACAATAGCAGAAATATACTTGTTATTTCATATCAAATTAAAAGGATCAGGCCTAAGGAGTCTCATCGGAGGCTCAAAGGTTTATCTTGTGGCCATACCTGAATCTAAAAGAGATGAGTGTGTACAGTGTACACATTTGAACTTATGTCATGTTGCACTATAAAAGTATATGATAAAGAACTGTATCACATATATTTATGTAGAGTAGGTAGGTCCCCACTGGGATGTGTTGTTGCTCTTACTTACTTAACTTACTATACTATACTACTGCAGCCGCGGAATAGTGAGCTTTTGGCATTTGTTTGTACTTTCGTGCCATAGTCGCCATAGACCAAAATAACTTAGTTTAGTAGGCGGTCTCATACTCATATGACCCTAGACAGGATAGAGACCCCTGATAGTTAGGTTTAAGATACTAAGAGTAAGACCCAAAGACTTAGTAATGAGGCATAGGCAAATTTCAAATGACAGAGACAGGTGCACGCGGGTTTGGGGTGGGGATCAAGTTGAGTAGACTTGGACAGAGCAGGGGTGTCATTTCATGGTTTTTGGGGGGGTGGGGAAAAACCAAAAAGTTTTTATTACTGGAGGCGCCACAGCGAGTTAAAGTAAAACCAGGTTTTTTTGTGTGTGTCAGAGTCAGGTGTATTTTAAAATTTGAGTTGGAGTGCCAAAAAACCTGCAAATTCAGGAGGGGGCCAATGCCCCACTCTGCCCTACACAAATGACGTCCCTGTCCCTAGTTCGGAGTCTAGACGTTTGTAGTTGTTACTAATTACTAACGATTTTATCATGACATGTACTAATCATGTTACTGGGCTGACACTGTTATCACTGGATCGAGTAGTAGTTAGTAGGCCTACCTTGAAAAATCCAAAATTATGTTGACTACAGATAATAATGGTTTATATTCAGCTCTCAGTTTGACTAGCGGAAAATGTTTCTTTTCCGTCATTCTTTATGAATACGGACAAATTCATAAATACAACTGTTTTATCAATGTTTGACCGAAATCCGTATCTAATTCGAACTGATCGGTTACTTCTTCTATAATCAAAATAAAAAGCAAAAACATGCCCGGCCCAGGGTATTATAACGGTAAACATTTCGACCGAAAACCCAGATATATCAGCAAACTTTTCGAAGTAGCTAATTTTTTCCTATTTTATTTTAAAAACAACTTTAAGGCTGCAAATCCTTTATACTTTTTATTTATTTCCATCCGTGTAGTCATGAAAAGACCTCATTCTCTAAATTTTCACGACTGGGGATCTTTTTGCTTAACTTTGGGCTTTGTTGGGGATTGAACTCATGACCACCCAGCACTCAAGAAATGATTAAAGTTGGCACACTCCACGGAACAGAAACTTAAAACACGCGGCCTTAACCATTGGTTCATTTCAATAAATTACTGATTCAACTAAACCTGATGAGACAACACATTCAATTTTAGTGTTCAAACAAGTGTTAGGGTTTCTCAAAATGATAGCCTAATTTTGTTTTTGACATATTGACATTGCCTTATATAGGGGACATCCTATGGAGGATGGTCTAAGAAAGTGTGATTAGTTTGTGACACCTTCCATCCCTTTGGCGCTACAGCTCAATTAAGGCATGCTTTTCTTTTCCATGCTTGGATTCCCAGTTGCTGTAGATCTTTTTCCACATCATCCACCCATCTAGGGCAAGGTCTGCCTTTAAGCTGTTTTCCTCTGGGGTGTGGTGGTGCACCCTCTTCACTCCTCTGTCATTTGGCATTCTTCAAGTGTCCCGCCAAGCGTAGCCTGCCCTTTTTTTTTATTTCTACTACCACTACCAGCGTGGGATCCCGCTGTAGTTTATATACTTCCTGGTTGTTTCTTATTCTCCATCCATATTTATTCTTTGTTAATCCATATATTTTCCAGAGAACTTTTCTCTCCCGTGCGTTTAAAAGATCTTCGGTAGTTTTGTTAGGACAATTTGGCCAAGGAGGAATTAATTTGAGTTATGTCATTGCTTGTAAATATAACTGTGAAAATATGCACCAACTAATTTTATGGTTTTATCAAATTATTTTTTGTAATTCACTTGACTTTTGGGGCACCCTGAAACGTTTCAGTTTCGTCCCCCACAAAATCACAGCTTATGGTTTAAATTAATTATTTACATCACAACTTAAGGCCCTTTAAATATCTGATCCCCTTGCAGCCGTAGAGTTTGAAGAGCAACTGCTGCGGCTGAGTACTTCAGAAGTCCTATTTGCGTTCTTATACTGATGGATATTTCTGTTGCATTTAACCAGAAACTTTGTGAAAGTTGAACAATATATTTGTGTTTAAAAACTTTTTAGTAGGCTACATTTTAATATAAGTTATAGACTCTAATGCTTTCATTTGATTTATTACACATTTGATTCCCATTTCTTCTTTAAAATCCAATAACGATGCCAATAATAACATGCAGGCGTTGATGTTGTTGTTTTTAAATCATGCAGTCACAGACATGTTAATTAATAACAACACATAGATCTTCAGAAAGACTGTTTTATTGTTCTTTCCATTGGTCTTATTGGTAGCACAGATAAAAAAAAACAATGGTAAGAATAACATAAAAAATAAATTTTATTGGTAATGCTTGAGACCAAAATCGTAATAAATTACTATTTATTGCCATTTCCAAGTTCCTAATTTCTATTTTTTTCTTTAAGGTCCACATTTTTTTCATGAATTTAAGGCGCAATTGAAAAAGTTTATCATAAGATCATTTTATATTTAAATTAAATGCGATGGACTTACGGCTGTAAGTAGAACAAACGATTCAATGTCACTGATGTGTAATCAAATTTCAAAGTTAACCATATTATATATAAATAAATAAGAATGAAATCTTGTAAAAAAATATATTAGGAACTTTATTTTCATAATGAATAAGTAAAGTAAATTTAAATGCATCACGGGTTTTTAACACTATTATTACAGATTCCATGAAACATCGTGCAATTCAACGTTAGAGTCACCGGATAAAACTGATTGCAATATTAAAGCAGGCCTATCACAAGATACTTTTTTTTTTTGCAACATCAACACGTTTTTTTTTATAAATTTAGCCGGCTTCAACCTTCAGCATCTCTTTTACTTAAAAGCTCTCTTAGAAAACAAGCAAACTCTTCGAGCTGATAAAACTCGGCCTCTGTTTGAAGTTCTCGCCACATCGTCTCACTCATGGGTAGCGTCCCTTCTTTGACACACCCGTCGCGCAGGTAGTTCAGGACATATCGGAAGTGGGTTCCATCTCTGTCGATGAAATAGCTACCGTCTGCCTCGGTTTTGAGTTCGTGGCGCCCACTGGAGAATAAAAGAGTATAAAGATAATACATTAAAAGACGCAGGCCTACTCTACAGAAAGTATTAACAACGTCTGCAAATAGCAGGTCTATGGGCCTATTGCATATTTCTGGCAACGTAACGAATTAAAATATCGATTATACTATGATTATGATCTATGAATCCAACATAGTTCAAAGGGTAAATAGAATGTATACAGTAGACGTAGGCAATAAAATTAATAAAATTCCCAACCCCCGTCACCCCCTCCCCCTTTTTCTTCTCCTTCTTTTCCTGATGTCTTTTGGAAATATAACTATGGACTACATGCGTGTTGTGTTGGGCATGAAACTCAATTCTGATGACGTCTCGAGAATACGTTGATTTTTACCTAAACATGGCCGCCAACATGGAATTTGGGTCTTTGGTCAGCGTGAGTAAGGAAGTGGTGAACAAGTTTCCTCCAATGTCCAGTTTGATACGACTTTCTTGAATTTTACTCAGTTCTGACATTCTCTGTGGACATTTCAGAAATAAACTCAATAGAAACGAATCAACGAGCTGAGACATGGTACAATGAATTTTTGGAGTGAGTTTTTTGGAGTGCTATGAGTTGCTTTGTCCCCCCTTTATCCCCAATTTGAAATTGTTTAAATTAATATTTGATTTAATATTTGGAGACATCTTTCAAAGTTATTTGGGGGGGGGGGGGAAATAAAAATTTTTTTTAGCTGTGTATAGATTAAATTCTTAAACCTAATTAAAATAATTACACACCTTTAATTCCATTTGAAATCTTTCTTTCTCTGTTTGCAGTTCCTCCCTATGAACTCTCAACTCCTCTTCTTTCTCGTGTATAACTTTTGCCGCCTCCTCCTGTTTTTCGGTGAATTCTCTGTCAAGTTCTATCCGTCTACTTTCATATTCCTATATGTGTGAACAAGAGAAACAGCGGATGATTGTAAGTTTAAATGCATCAATATATTTTTTCCTTGAAATCTATAAGAATGGGGAAAACTTCTACTTTGCATTGTTACATTAAATACGTATTTTATTTTTCCTTTCATCTTCTTATTTCGTTTCAATTTAATTGTAGTTTCATATCTTTGTTACGGACAAGTAAATAAATAAAATTGAATTTATTTATTGTATTATTCGTGTTGTATACCCCGACCTCTAGCTGCAATACTTCAAGGCTTAAAATATATTTTTCATGTAGCTAAAGGTTTGACTGCTAACTTTGTGGTTACTTCTGTTTTGTGAGAGTAGCATTGAATTTGATAAGGTAGAATGTAGATGATTCTGCTCAGGCAAACTGGAGATATCATTTTTACAATACTTATTGACAAATAGATTTTTTTTAAACTGTCCCCCTTTTTAATAGCAAAATTCATTAAGATTTTTTTTTTTTAATGACACAGATCGAAATCAATTTTTTACCTTGATTTTCTTTTCACAAGTAGCCATTTCTTCACTTAGCCTAAATTCTTTCAACTCAAGTCGGGTACTTAGGCGCTCTGTAACAGATTCGCGAGCACACACCTGGCGCTCTCGCTCCCTAAGTTGACACTCACGATCTTCAATGTAATCTTTGGCTCTCTGGAACATGATTTAATAGTATGCGTACACATTGAGCAACATTCATTTTAGTCAGCACCATGTTAACAAGAATATATTCTGCCATTTATAATAGTAGCTTTGCAACGTGCAGAAGTTGATTACATCTACTTACCCACCAATAATAATAAACTGTGTAGCTATTAATTCCATAAGACTTGCATCAATAGTAATAACTGACCATACAAAATTAACGCAACGTTTTAAAAATCATTTTATTTTAATTGTATTTTTTAAATCTTAAATACATTTTGAATTTGAAACACAAATTATGAAGGTATGAACTTTTAACTTTGATTATAAAACTGCCACATTGGGAAATCAAAAAATTAAAAGATAAAAATGTATCAAAATAAGATGACTCATACAAATTATGAACACAAAATGCAACACGTTAACTTGCTATCACACTCACCTGCACAAATACATTAAAGTTACCATGTAACTTCTCAAGAAACGTTTTCCCAATGTGATCTATTTGTTCATGAATGTCCAGTTCCCAGGGTGTCGTGGCGTCATCGAACATGCTGTGCTCTAGGAGATGTCCTCGGGCTCGTTCGTCTTCGGGCGCTTCAATCTGTTCAGGCGCCCCCGCCCACTTGCCATCGGCATCTGTCATCTCCAGTGCAATGACCGGCCTCGTGAAATCAGAATCCATGTCCAGGACTACACCAATGGCCTTTTCTCTGCAAAGCACGAGTCTCCACTCGGCATCCGCCTCAGGTTTGGCCCACATGCGCGACTCCTGGCTCGCCGGAATGGAGTACAGCTGGCGCGCTCTATATTCCACGTGACCGACTTTCTCCATCTTGCTGAAGCGAACTATATGAAAATCCTCCGGCGGCGAGGTGCTCAACATCACTTTAAAGGAGTTTATGTTGTGCTCGATCTCCGGTCCTCGTGCATATCTGTAGACGACGAGTTTCATCGCTTTGTGGCCATCCGCTATCCCGTACCACTGCACCAACATGCGCCAGGCGTCTTCGTGCACGACGTCCACTGTGTGCGCATAGTCTCTTCGTGTTACGATTGGCCCGGGCGGAGACGACGCTCGCTGGCCGTAGTACTTCCTCGAGCTGTTGATGCCGACGTACTTCTTCAGCTGCTCCAGCCACTCGGCGACGATGACGTACCAGAAGTCGCCCTCCTCCAGCTGACGGTCAAAAAGGTGCTCCAAGACCGACTTCTGGACCTGGGCGTCCGGCGAAAAGGACACGCCCGTGGAATGTCCGGCGGTCGCTGCTGGCGTTGACGGAGGGGGTGAAGCCCTGACTCCGGCCACCGCTGCCACTGGCACCGCGGACGTGCCACAAGAGGACGGTGAGGACATCCCGAAACGGCGATCGCTGTGTAGTTGGCGGTGGAAAGACGTCACTGACGAGGGTAGCATAGGTTTATCTAGGAGTAAACACATTGTACGCGGGTTAGTTTCCAAGCCGTGTGCAAAAATGAAGGGAGCGCCTCGCCAAGTGCGCAGAAAAACTACCTGTTCTAATGGAAGGGGAGGGCTGTTTTATCGGGTGCAAGAGGAAAACTGTCTGGCAATCCTACAAGTGACCTATTGACCTTTGACCCTCCTTTCTGTTCCGTCTAAAAATAGACTCGATGAGGAATTCACGTGCTTTTGTTTACAAACATTACCTTTTCAAAGCACCTGAGATTCTCGGGCAATTAACGTTAACTTAAAACAAATAAACTTTACATGAAGCCTCGCAATAGGAAATCACCGTTTAATACTTTGAACATGTATTCTAATCTATAGTCATGAAATATTTGATTTTAGTTGTTAGATTTCAGTACAATACTTAAAAACTGGAGCGTACTTACTTTTGATGCTTGAACTATATCAAATGATATAAAGATAAACACCCTTAAAAGGTTTCAAAGATGACTATTGAGTCAACAACCCTTTCAATTAAGAAATATTCTAATCAAAACCATATACATATAAATGACAAAGCCGAATAAAAAACTGGGGTGACGCCTACCTGGTTGTATTGTTTTCACTTGATCGTCGGAGTATGTTTCTCCGTTAACACAAAGGGGAAATATAGGTTTAAATGTTGAGAAAGCCCCCTAAATGAAAAGTTTATATACTCAGACCGCACGTGACGACTGGCCCCCAAACCGAGGCTGCTTGACACCCAGCCAATAATGACGTCAAGCTCTTCTCGAACATCGCAGATCACCTGGAAAGTTGACTTTTTCCTTTGTTCTGTCTGCCAAGTGTCGGATGCGTCTGGCATTTCAATGACCCGCCACGAGATGACCGACAACAAGGTACTGACCAACAGTGTAAAGATTAAGTTGAGTGTGGCGTAAACAAAAATTATTTAGCCGCATACAATATTTAAAGGGGTTAAGCATGATCCCAGTTTTCAGAAATTGTTTATTTTTAGACACCTGTTTATTTGTAGCTGAGTTTAAATTCAGAGGTTCTGATACGAGGAATAATAGGTCGCTATTTATAACTTGATCAAATTTTAATGCCCCTTCTGCCTCAGTGCGGATTGGAGTAAACGTTGTGCCCTGTGCCCTGGCAGTCACATAATAACGTGGTTGAGTATTATTTTAAATTTCGATCCCAGTCCCAACCCTACCCTCACAAGCTGACGTCATTAGCTTTCTAGTTTTGATATGTATTTTAAATCTTATAAAACAATACGGGCCACAAAAAAAACAACAACACACACACACATTTTTCTTGGTGCTTTGGGTTTATGCCTGTTCTTAGTGAGGTTTTTTTGGGCGCTGATTCCGAAAATTGAAATAAAATTTTAGTCAACTCTATTATAAGATGTTTTGTGCAGAATTTGGATGCAGTGGCGTTGGAAGGGGTGGGGAGAGGGCAGTCCGCCCGGGACGACACGTTTTGCTTTATTTTTTGGAGTGGCCTCATTTTCGGCCAAATGCAGAAAATTATTTTTCAGGGGGGGGGGGGGGGTACCCCCTGACCCGCCCCGGGCAGCACTAATCCTAGCTACGCCACNATGCAGAAAATTATTTTCCGGGGGGGGGGGGGGGAGTACCACCTGACCCGCCCCGGGCAGCACTAATCCTAGCTACGCCACTTTTGGAGGGAAATAATGTAATCACTGCAGTAACCGATATCAATTAAGTTAATCTGGACATTTCATTGAGAAACCTAAGGCTAGGACTTGCGATGGACCACAGATCAGAAAGCGTTTCACAGCATCAATAAGTTAACTTGAAACATGTGACCAGCCTCCGTTTGTTATTGTGAAAAACTTGATGGCATTCATTTAGACCAGGGGTCTCCAAACTTTTCAGCCCGAGGGCCGCATTAACTATCAAACAGCAGTTCGGGGGCCGACTACACACCCGAGGTCCAAATAAAAAAGAATCAAAACATTTATGTTGTTTTTAATGATTTATGTACCGGGTATTATTATTTCATTTAGTTATTATTTAATAACACATTGATACACTACACATGAACACCCGTATTAGTGTGAATGGTGAAATAGTTTCATGGATGCCAAAATAGCAATGATTAGCAGACATTTCTGGATTTAGATTTGATGTCCCTAACATCAACATTGACCTGAGATTATCATCGGACAAATTTGTTCTCAAATTGTTCTTCACGTATTTCGTTCTTGAAAATGTTTGTTCACACATGCATGTTGTTCCAAAGATTGAAAGGTACATTGATGCTAATGTTTTGAAATTAGGAAAGTCTTCCTTGGGCGAAAACTAGTTAAAAACCCACCAGTCCTTCTTTATTAACTTGTCCCTAAGGAGGTCATTTGCTTGCAACTCAATGACCTCCAGGGGCAGTTAATCTGGACGACTGGCCACATCTGCTTCAAATGGGTTTTGAAAAAGTCTCATCTCTTCTGCCTTTAAATCCAAGTCAGAAAACCGCTGCTGACACTGCAGCTTGAGGTCTTTGATGATCTCGCATACAGATGACGTGGGGAACCCCGCTGTTGCTTCAGCCATGAAGACCCTCCACTGGTGAAAGTGCGTCAAGTTGTTGGCCTGTACTTGTTCCAAAAAAACAAGACGAATTTGGATCTGAGGGCTTTTAGGTGGGTGTATAGATTAGAAACTTGATTTTCCTCTGGTATTTTTAGGTTTAGAAAATGTAAATGACTAGTTGTGTCTGAAGCAAAGACCAATTTCCATACCCACTCGTCATCAGATACTAATGGCTGTGGCTTGCCTTTACTTTCCAGGAAGTCACCTATTTCCTTTCTTAACTTAAATACTTTGCTCAGAACTTTCTCACAATTTAACCATCTTATTACTGTGTAATATGGTAAATCTTGCGATTCTGTGTCTGTATCTTTCAACAGGTCTCTGAACTGCCTATGGTTGAGCCAATGTGACCTTATTAAATTAACCCTCTTTACCACATGATTCAGTACGCTGCTAGTGTCCACATATTTAGTACATAGAGCTTTCTGCTGAATAATACAGTGCAGTAACATTGGTTGCAGAATTTTTTTCTCATCACACATCTGCTTCACTTGCCCAACCAAGCCTTTCTTTATGCCACTCATGTTATTTCATCTGTCAGCAGTCAGGCAACTGAAGTTAGTCCAGTCCAAGTTATAATCAGCAAATGTTTTTTTTCAGCTCATTGAATAAATCCTCTCCGGTAACAGTGTCGTAAATGCTATGTAGGGAAGCCAGCTCTTGCGTTATTTTCATGTCTTCATCCATGCGGCCCGCGGGCCGTAGTTTGGAGACCCCTGACTTAGACTGCTGCTCGGAGAACCTTGACTCAATAGCAATGTGAAAGATTTCACCAAATATGCCAGCAACGGCAGCCAGATATCAATGAAGATGAAAAATATGATGGAATCTTATTGCGGGATCGTCCAGACAGATCCTATTCTCGGTGGTCTTTCAAAAGGAGCCTCTTTTGTGTTGAATAACTGGAAAGTTCGCATTGTAAATCTGTGCGCTTGGTATAAAGATAAGCACATTTTCATGTAACACATTTTAATGTAGCACATTTCTATGAACACATTAAAAAAATTATTAAAAAATATGCCACATGCTTAAAGAGGACATATTATGTTCAATATCTAAAGAAAACTAGAGGTGATATGGCAAAAAAACTGCAGCCATTTTGGAATCAGTGGGTAACATATTATACCTACAAACAAATGTAACATCTGACGCATCAAATTTTCTGTGTTGGCAAGTTTTACAGGAGTTTAATTGACCAGCATTTAAGACACTATTGAAAAGAATGTTTTTGGTATTAAACTACAACAATAGATAAGGAGATGTGGACGGATCCAGGCTATTCCTAAATGTTTTAGATGGTGGGGGTGATATAAAATTGAAGACCGTTGATCCTGCCACGGTTCTAGATAATCTCATTGAATAGCTGAAGCTAACAGATTCATGCGTGCAATGTTAATATTACAGGATCACACGCGTCCTGGATTCCATATAGAGGAACAGACAGCGTAACCATAGGTACAAAAAAGAAAAGCTGGGTCGTGTGATGTCATGTTTAAAATATTCTTCCAAAGGCTCAAGCAAAAATCAAATCCGCAATTCCTATTTAAAATATGCTAATGACTTTAAAAAAAACAACAACAAAAAAACAAACAAAAAAACAAAACAAATGTACATCATTTCGTAACTTTGCTCTTAACCTTGACTACGGGGAAGATGGAAACGGCACAATTATGTGACGCACCGTGCCGTTATACGAATGCGAAATGGTGACGGGAAATCTGCGTGTTCAGAGAAATAACACTGTATATAAAGATGTACAGTAGATTGATTTGCAGTTGTAATTTTGCGCCCTTTCCTCCTGCAAATGTTCAGGTCGGTATTAACCTTCAATAACTTTACATAGTGCTGCTTGGGAAGGATGATGAAAAGAGTCCTAAAATAGCAGTCTTATTCTGATTACTAAATTTAAATGCATTGAGCGCTAAAAAAAATCTGTTTGAATGGCTTTATTGAAAAAATAGCGTAGTTACTCTAATAAGAAAAATTGCGACTTCAAGCTTGAATTTACTCAACAATTTTTGATTTTTTTTTTTTAAATTAAATAAATAAATTTTTAAAAAATTGGCATCGTATCGAGAAATTTTTTCTGCATAGCTTTTGTGGCTGATGACATCTGCATAATCTGGTCGGCAGACAACATCTTTTTGCTATAGACATTTTAGCCAAGGATGTGAGCCTGAGTTATAAACGTTCTTGAAACAATTTTTTTTTTCAATTTTCAGTTTCTTGTAGGTAGCACGAGCCGCTCCTGTCTTCAGTCTAGCAGTTTATAGTAAGTAGCACGAGCCGCTACTGTCTTCAGTCTAGCAGTTTATAGTAAGTAGCACGAGCTGCTACTGTCTTCAGTCTGGCAGTTTGTTATAGGTAGCAAGAGTTTCTGGCGTCTTTAGTCTGGCAGTTTGTAGTTTTAAGTAGCACGAGCTGCTACTGTCTTCAGTCTGGCAATTTGTAGTAAGTAGCATGTGCTGCTAATGTCTTCAGTCTGGCAGTTTGTTGTAAGTAGCACGAGCTGCTACTGTCTTCAGACTGGCAGTTTGTTGTAGGTTGTACGAGCTGCTAGCGTCTTCAGTCTGGCAGTTTGTTGTAAGTAGCACGAGCTGCTACCGTCTTCAATATGCGCCACTAGTGTTTTCAAAAAATTAAAATATTTTTACACAATTTGGTTTGGGATGTTAAATTTATTTGATTTAAATAGACCTGGTGTCATGACCCGTAGTAACTTTGGTTGTCAAAAGGAATAGACCTATCACAGGAGATTCGATCAACAGCATAATATTAATATTCTTTCATTTGTGTAAAATTTATTTTTTCTTAAACTTGGTATTTAATATGTTTTTTTGTTTGGGATCAAAATGACGCCCCTAGAATTCGGCACTCCGGGAGTTGCCTGCTTTGCCTGTACCCAAGGCTGGCACTGGGCATAGGAAGGGTTAAATGCCACCCGAGGCGGATTCAATATTTTGGTCACCCCCTCGCAAGAGCAAACTCTGCAATTGGCCGAAAAGTCCGCATTTCAAAACAGTAAAAAAAAGTACCACCTGGGATGGACTGCGCCCCCCCCCCACACACCACACTTTCAACGCGAGTGTGAGTGAGCACACGTGATGCATTCGTGGTTTCCTTAATATGAGGAGAACCACTACTTTTATTTTAATTCCTTTCTTCTATGTGATGTGTACATACAAAACAAATGTTTGAACTAATATTCTCCAAAGAATTTTTAAAATTGTTTTACCAAACCTTTGTGGGCACTCGTAAATTATTTTTCTTTAATTCCGATAATTATTTGTCACGAGGTGTCGATTATTCTACATTTTACTTTTTCAAAAATCGTCTCGTCTAAAAATCAAATTTTTTTTTTTTAATTTTTTTTTTTGGTCTAACTATTTTTAATCGTTCTATTTTGATTTACAACGTTATAATTTTAAAAACATCTTCGTTGTTGTCTTCCAATACGCTGAAAGTAAGTTTATCAAATGGTTAGATAGCAGCTCATATATACCCAAAGATGAAGACACTAAACAGCATGTAAACAATAACAAAGAAGATACAGACATCTTAAGTTCATTGTGTACAGTTCCGGGTTCTCAATGAAAGATCCCAGTACACTGTTCAGCGTATTTTTAGACTCGCTCAAAATATGTATGGCAGTGAATATGGGAGAAGGGGAAAAAACCGCATGCTTCATTGATGCTCACGCGAGCACGCTCGACTGGCACACTCCAGTCTCTAAGATGAGGAGTGGCGTGGTGCCTCAGCGTGCCAGGTCTGAAAGCCCCAAGTAGCCGGGGGCCGTACGTTGAGTTTTACTTCACCTGTGTTACTGTGCAAGGCTCAAGGGGGGCGTTTTTTAGGGTAAAAGTGTGCTCGCGGTTGCACACGGTATTTTTCTTTGATTACTGGATTGAATTCTCGCTAAATGGAACGCATTGCCATGTAACTATAGTGCAACTGCGTGCTACGCTAAAGATGAAATGCTGTTGTGATTGACTCTAGGAAAAGCTACACCATGAAGATTTGCTCTTAAATGAGTTTGATAGGAAAAATTGTGTATTTTTAGAAACCCATATTTCATTTTAAAAGAAGTCGAAGGTAAATTAACATTTGTTTGGAATTGTCAACTTCTGCATAAAAGATTACTTCATAATTTACTTATGAATCTTGTGTTAAACAATTTGATAAGTCAGTAGATTTGTCATGCTATAGCAGAAAGAGTTCATGTTTGATTCTAATGATCGATTAAATTACATGCTAAACTGAAGTAGGCGGGGTGATCTTGCCTTTAGGCCTACTTTACTTGTGTCGTTTTCAAATTGTCTGAGTCCATGACACAGAGAATAAATAATAAGTATTCGGTAGGTAGCCTATGCTAAATAAGGGTAGACTTATCAGAATGCAAATTAAGGAGAAAAAGCTTTGATCTGAAAGTCTAAAACTAAAAGTTAAGTTGTGTTTTATTTATTATCAGTAATATTAGCAAGTCGTTATTTAATTGATGTAATTTTTTTTTTTTTTTTTTTTTAATTTTTGCCAGTTTTAAAACTTTTATTTTTTTAAGTCTTGCCAAGTTTAAAACGTTTAATTGACTGTTGCCATTTGTTAAATAAAAGTTTATATTGTCATGTACTAATATTTAGTGTCATAGATTTAAATTATTTCACATCATTATTTAACTTCGGTTATGCCACAGCGCTATGGCCACTGACTATGACGTGTTCGGGTTGTACAACCCACCCACCGGGTGTGGAGACAATCGCTGCAGTACAAGTTTCATGGAGTTTATTTACTGTGTTGTCGTCCCTGCTGTCATAGTGCTAGCGCTCTTGGCATTGCTGGCTGTCATCATGTGCTGTAACTCAAAGTCTTGGTAAAAAGTGGAGACTAGTTGATTATTTAAATATTTAATTAAATTTCAGATAAAGTAGAAATTGTTTTCCTTTTGAAATAAGTTAGCGTTTTTTTTCCTTAAAATATAGGCCCTACTGGGTATAATTTTTTCACAGTATCATTTAAAACAATTAGGGCAGTTAGGGTCACCAATAGTGGCTAAATATTCCATTTTGAAATTCAACCAAGTCCAGTATCAATTTTTTTATTAGCTGAACCAAAAGTAAGCTATTGTTTTAATTAAATCAATGCCAGTTTTGATTTAGGAGAGATGAGAAATACTTTGTAAGTGTTGATAATTTCATTCAATCACTGCTAAAGGAAACCCATTGGTTCTGAACTATAAATAACATAGCTTCCTTTGCCTATGCTAGACTAGAATCTAGATGTTCACTCTTGACTGCTCTGGCTTTCTTTAATTTTAATTAGGCCATAGCCCTTATGGCGTATGTTTTTTGTTTGTAGCAATTGTAGCTTTCCAAGAGCTTTCCTTTTATTGTCTCTTTGTCTCGTCCCATGTATTTCTTCTGTAGCTCTATTTTATGTTTCAGTAAATGTAAAAAGAAAGCCTCACAAAACTCACAAACCAAGTAAGTACTAGAACAATCCTTTTATAATAAAAGTTATTTAAAAGTTAGTTAGTTTCATTTTTAAAATGGCTTCGACCCAATTTCAAATAAATAAATGGGGTACACAAATTTAAATGTTTTCTAAATGTAAAAGTTATACAATCTCTGTTAAACTAGTGATATCCAATTGGAAGACTATAACTCCATTCGTCGAGCATCAACTAATCTACGTCAAATGTCTCACAATCGTGAAACTCCTCTAATGGGTAGTAGAGCTGGATCAATGACTCTTGATCGGACAAGTAGACGGGTCAACAAGGGAAGAGACTCTTGTTATTCAGCTCCAGGAACTCTACAGAGGTATTTTATGATTATCAGAGATGCTTTAGTTATGGCTGAACATCAGAGAATATTGTGCAAAAATGTTGAAATCCCTTAATTACATTGTTGTCACCATGCATCTTTTATTGCAGATTTAATTGGTGGCTATAATTAAATTAAAAGCTGTTGTGTTTCAGGCAGATTCGTAACAGACAATATGATCAGCTTGCAACAGGTCCACCCCCACCTTATGCTTATGATAATGACAATGCTATGGCTCTGTAAGTGTACCAATTCTCTCGCTTCTTCTCAATCAGAAAAATCGGGGGTGGGGGTATTTAATATGATGATCAACACTGAGTATCCATTAGCATTATTTAAGTCTCAATATTTTAATTGCTGTTATAATTTTGAAAAAGCAATTTTTTTATTCATGCAGTCAACAAAGGAGAAGTCACTTGTCTGAAATAGATTCTCCTAGCCCCCCACCTCCACCAGCATACAGCATGCATCCAGAGGATGATTTTTTAGGGTAAGATTCATCCTATCTTAAACTGCATTGAACATTAGTGAAGTGCCAATATGACATATAAATTTCATTGAATTTCTCACAGCATATTTATATCTAAATTCTAACATTTTTAAGGATAGAAAATAGTGTATAAATTATGAATGAAACATGCCATAAATTTGTGTATGTAAATTGGATTTAAAAATCTGAATGGATGCAAAGTAAATCTAATACTAATATTTTTTGCAGTTTTTTCATCAAATGTTTTCTTAAAACATTTTATTTATTTTTTCAATAATCTAGTTGTATTCAGTTTGTCAGCTTAAAAAAATATTAAACCTTTTATTTAATTTGCATTTGCATGATACTACTTTTCTTAAAATATTATTTTGTTTTTATTTCCATAGTTCTGAATATTTTCAATCAAGTTTGCATGCAAGTGTGCGATATGATGACAGCCCCGGATTTAGCAGCAGTGGAACCCAACCTCTTTTACTTCAAAGAAAGACAGAGAGTTGAAGTTGAAAAGATATTTAAAGACAGACTATTTTTAGAGCAAATTAAATGGATTTTTAACATGGTATTGAAATTATTTCAGTTGTACAATAAATGCAAAAACATTGATGGGCCAAAAGAATCCAACTTATTACAAGAAAATCACTAAATCCCATTAATTGATTTTTACAATTTTGTCTGTAAATTGAGCCATGAATTAAAAAAAATTTAAACTACAGACTATTGTCATCAAAGAATGAAGACCTGATTATTAATGTACCATTAGCTATTTTTTTTCTTTTAATTTCAAAATGATATAGGGGAGAGTCTGGAGAAATGGACAGGTGTGAGAAATGGACCACCCCCTATAAAAATCGAATCTATTGGACTAAAATGTTTTGGAACTAAATGAATGCATAAATTACTTATTTTTTGTGTTTTCTAAGAGTTTCCAGATTATATGGTCAGCTATGAAACAAATGAATCACGAGTAAAATTTTGGCATAAAAAAATGTTGTTTTGAACAAACCTCATCAAAGCGTCCAGAAATTTAACTGGTTCATCAAGAATAAAGGTGAATATAGTTAAATGTATCACATTCAGTTATTTATAGTATTTCATTTTAAATTTGATTATTTGCATCACGAACTTATTATTATTTTTTTTTTTAAATTCTGCTTCAACCCCATAGTGGGGTGAAACGTGCCGAAAAATGGGGAGAAATGGACATATGTCCATTTATCCCCACTGTTTATTTTCTGTATACTTCATTACTGCATAATCTTGAAGTAATTAAAACGTATTAATATATTGAGCATGACTTTAGTTAATTAACTTTAAAGAAAGATTTTGAATTATCAGTCATGATTTATTGTAGTGAAAAGTAATTTTAGAAAATATTTTGCTAAATATATATGATATAATATATGTGTGTATGATTATGTACTGTAGAAATTAAATCTTCTTAATTTTTTAAAGCTTTTTATTTTAAAAAACATTATAAATTTCCCATGGGATGAGAATTTAAAGTTTCCAATATTTTTTCTTGCAGAAACTACACAAGAAAAACGGATAATGGTAGAGTAGGCCTACCCTTGGAAGATATGAGAAATGCAGTTGATTCCATTAAAGGGGGAAAGTTGATGCGTAAAGCTGATACACAATTTGGACAAGTGACGATAGTGAGTCTGACAAGAACATTGACGTGATAAGCGATGATGATTTTGATGACTTTATTTCATACTGTGAAGACTTGACAACTAATTGTGTTGAAATGAGTGGTGTTGAAGAAGTTATGAAAGGTGATTGTGTGCTGTGTGAGTATAGTGTAAGAAAGTCTGTGGTGTTTTATGTTGCCATTGTGAGGAAGAAAGTAGATAAAGATGGAGATGAGAAAGTAGAATTTTTAAGAAAAAGTAAGAAAGTGACTGGCAAATGTATAAGACCACACGTAGAAGTCATTGAGTGTAGGCCTATATTAAAGACATAAAATGCAAACTTACAAAAATACAAAAGACTGGGACAGCTAGGACTAAAGGGTTTTTTTCTTTAAAGAAAACCTGAGTTATTTAAATGTTAAATAAATCTGTGTTTTTGTTTTGCTCAAATTACATTCTTTCTACATCATTATATTTAATAAATATACCGGTACATAAAATGTAAAATGGTTTTGCTTATCTTTTTTAATTAAATTACATATTGTATGGTGCATTACAGCTCAACTGAGAGAAAATTAATTGAAAATAGGTAAAGTATTAATTTGTTTTAACCACTTTTTAGTTAGCTGACCATTTCTCCCAACATAGTGGTCCATTTCTCCCTTCGCTATGTCCATTTCTCCCAACCTACATAGTCATCAGTGTCTTTTGAATTTCACAAAAACTATCAAATTTATCAAAATTCTAATTAAGTTTTTAAGTGTGAACATTTGGACTGGCTATTAATAAGCCAAATTTTATGGTTATAACTTTCTATTTGTCAACACCAGCTGCATACTTTGTCTGATGCTCATTTGGTGCATGGCCCATTTCTCCCGACTCTCCCCTATTTGTATAGCTATAAGGCTTAGCACATTAAACAATAATGATTAATGAGACCAAAAATAATTGTGTAAATAAAACTATATACCGTATGTTAATCTTAAGCTTTAATTATGATTACACATTTACAAAATTAAAGCTTAACATACATTGTTTTATTTATGGCACACAATATGTTTGTGTCTCATCAAGCTTTATCACAGTCCAACTCCAACCCTCTTATAATTAGTTGTACAATATTGTTGTGTTTAAGAAGTGCTAAAGTTATTGCTTTTCTTGTGATAGTTTTAAATTTAATTCTGGTATATCTAAAAAATAGTGTCAAAAGTGTTAAAAATTACCGGTATAGATTTCTGCTATAATTGGTGTAAGCCTACTATACTTGTTTATAATATTCATGCACTGGTATTTTACTCCTTCTCCATTGTTATTATCTAATTTGATTAATAAAATATTTATTTAAAATTTTAATGTCCCATAGTTTAATTGACTTAAATATAAAGTTTGTACAAAAAAAGATTGCCAATGGGTCTGGCTCTACAAGCAGAAGGCTTTTGGGTCGCAAGATTGCAAGACTGTACATTAAGAAGAAAAAAATCACATGGTAAACTAAAGGATGATTTATGTCCTATGTCCTAACTATGTCCTATAACTCATTGTGTAAAGTTGAATGTAAATAAAACAATCGTTATATAGCAATGCTATTAGCATGTCACAATTGAACAAAAGAGATATAATTCAAGGTGCAGTCAGCCACTGTTTCCAATTTGAAGAGGTCTGTCCTGCCTGGTTGGAATCATGAATTTTAGTGTGGATAATTGCCTGGTCCCATATTCCACTGTGGGAATTCATCATCTGACATCAAACACCATTTAAATAGACTAATCAAGAAAGCTGGTAAAATCTAAAAATACTGTTTTAATTTTAAGATTAATTTTTGGGATGATACATCCCACCCTCTTCATCACAGATACCTAATATCAGCTCAATCAGGGGCTATTCTTTCTCTTAAAGTTAGGACTAAAACATATAAAAATTCTATTATTCCCCAGTCTGTATGATATCACCAGCGCATGCTCCCCCGAAGTGACCAAATCTAAATGATCACTAATTAAGTCAATATTTACACTAAAAGAGTTCACTGATGACTGATTCCTAAGCCAGAGAAATACTTTAGATGTCTTCTGATTACCGGTATATTGTTATAAGTGTAAAATGTTGTCTTGGTTGAAATATGTATATATTTATGTGCTGAAAATAAATAAGTAAAATGTAATAAAAAATCATTCCAATTTATTTGGATCAATAAATCTTTTTTTAAAATATTCTTCTGGTCACAAAATGGATATGGGGCCAAGGTATGTTGTGTCTGAAAATTAATGAATCACCTTGAAATGGTGAAACTACTCTAAGCGTTGACACCTTGTAAAGACCCTTAGTCAGTTGAAATTTCGCCTCAACTTTATGTTAAACATCACAACTGAGAAATGAAAAAGATTTTTTGGTTCACAATTTTTGGTAGCTTATACAATGACCAAATTAGCTGACATTGAACCTTATATTCTTATCATCCCTAAATTCATCAAAGATTACATTCTCTCAACATCCGCTTTTGATGATAACCATCTTAGGAAGATTCGGACTGTTGTTTCCCTTACTTGTACTTTTCTCCACTATTTCTATAAACTGTTCAAGCTATGTATCGGGATGCCAATCAGTACTATACATTGGGTCATTACATGCACGTACAAGCTTACACAAAGTCATCATCCTCTCAAAAAAGTGAACACCTTGTCGCGGGCCATCAAAAATGCGTTGAGCCCCGGGCCCCTAGGCATATGACTCATTTTCCTCCAGGATAATTTGGCACTGGGACTATAAGCAATGGGTGGTTCCGTTAGGTGCATGATGGTGATATAATGTGTAGGAAAGATGAGGTCCATTTATCTGGTTTTGAATTCCAATCGGTCTCTTTTTGTATTCCCAATTAATCCTACTTATGTCATTCACGGATTGCCCCAAAAAAAAAACAGAATCCCGAGATTCCACCTGATGACCGCGGCTGTTAATTCCATAGGTGAGAATAAAATGTATTGTTAATTATAATATAATATAATTATTACTCTCTTGCCAATACGTTCGCTGTTTTCTTTCAGTTTTCCCCTGGCCCTACATCGTAAGTTATACTTCCCATTGCTTCAACCTGAACGCAGCCCTCCCCATATTACACTACCGTAATATGGCAATGCTTAACATAAATTAAGATTCCGCTAAAATCAGAGATTAAAAAAGGCTATTCTTCTTCTATATCTTAAGGGCCCACGATCAATTTATTGATCATTTTGGCTCCTATGCATGTAGATGGGATTTGCAATGTTTCTGTTACTGGTGTTGATGAGGAAATCATGCACTAGGGGTTTGAAGGCTTGAGGCAATAGACACAAATGTGTCTAGTGTTGTCGCCTCAACCGTTCCTTTTGAAAGATTGTTCCAGTCCCTGATTGTCTTGGGCAGGAATGAGCAGCTCCTATACTGGCTTCTTGCTGGTATGAGCCTGAATTGCCTGTCATGGCCTCGTCGCTGTCTATGGGGGAGAGGGACGAGTTTCTGTTTAATACTGGAACAGTGGACCAGCCCATTATTTATCTTGTACATCATGGAGAGCCTGGATTGTCGTCGTCGTTTCTCCAATGGTGACCAGCCTAGTGTTTCTAGCATGCTGCCAACACTAGAGGTATTCCTGTAGCGGTTTAGGACAAAGCGTGCTGCTCGTCGCTGGACCGCCTCCAACCTGTCAATGCTCTTCTGGGTAAATGGGTCCCAGACTGAAGATGCATAATCTAAAATCGGACGGATAAAGGCTTTATATGCTCTTTCTTTCACACAGGAGTTGCCAATCTTTAGATTTCGCCTTAGGAGCCCTAGGGTCTTGTTTGCTTGGTTACATACATTGTTAATATGCTCGTCCCAGCGGACCTCTCTTTGAATGGTAACACCCAGGTACTTTACGATGGAAACTTGCTCAAGTATATGGCCGTGCAGTTCGTATTCCCTAGTGTAGAGGAGTACAACTTCTAGAGATTGATAGTGTCTGGAACTTGGCAGGGAGTCGACACATTAAGGAGTCGAAGTATTTCTGCGAGGGGCATGTGAAAGACTATGCTGGGGAGGAATGGCTGGTAAAATCAAACATTTCATTTCAAAGTTTGACATATTTCAAGTCTTTTAACCTGATCAACAGAAAGGGACTCTCAAGATATCCCGAAAACACCCATGGGAAAGAGTTGGTATAAATCTATTTGGACTAACCGTGAAAGACTAAAAGACTACGTGGTCTGTGTGGACTATTTCAGAATTTATTTAGAGATTGATGCACTGAAAAACACAAGAACATAAACTGTGATCAGAAAAATAAGGGCACAAAATATGGGATTCCTTTCACGGTTTTTCAGTGATAATGGTCCGCAATTCTAATCGGATACCTTTGCAAAATTTGACAGACTGGAATTTTATCACTGCACAAGTAGTCCACTCTACAATAAAGAATACATATAAGTTTACTTGTGAAAATACGAATTAACTATCACAAATGACATCCGAATAGCTTCTTTAGTTTTCAAATAAAGCTACAGTCCTCGAGACCTGCGTTTGTTTTAGTGTACCGGTATTTTAGTAAAACTGCCAGCCTTGGTCCACCATCACCAACGTCGCACTACTACAGTTTTTGGCGCTGCGATCAGGGTTTTAAAAGTGTGTCACACACACAAAGGTACACAACACTCCACTCTCCAGTAGTAGCCATCAACCATCATCACACTACTACATTAAATTATTGGAAATTATTCTTTGCGGTTTACCGTAAATAAAACAACAGTTATTATATCAGAAATGTATCATGTCATTGGTCGGATTTGAAAATAAAATTATATTTTATTGAAATAATCCCTTAATAAATTGAAATACTCTTTTTTTTTTTTTTTTTAAACTTCAACTATATTGAAACATGTTACAAAAGCTATCTTTCTTTAGGTGACGTGATAGCATACAAAAATAAAATTGCATCACTTTTTATGCTATATTCAAACTTGAGCAAGGCAGGAGGGATTGGATTTTACACTACATTCAAACTTGAGCAAGGCAGGTGGGTTTGGATTTAATACTATATTCAAACTTGAGCATGGTAGGTGGGTTTGGATTTGATATTACATTCAAACTTGAGCATGGCAAGAGGTTATGGATTTTTCAGATTTGTATACAACTATTTGAACCATCCACTCCCTTCAAAATGACCGACCCATGACACTTACGTTTTTGAACTCATTTCATTTCTTGGTTGTTACTTGTTCTGTATGCCAAAGAAGGCTTTTGGTCGAAACGTTCTCTTTTTATTGTCCTTTCTTTTCATTTCAAGCCTGAAACAAACATTGGTCCACTATTTTTTTTCACACAGCTTGAACGTAAACCTTCGTTTTTTTTACCATCCATTAATTGCAGTCTTGACAGATGTAATAACTAATTCTCAAGTAAAAATTCACATCATGAATTATATTATCAGGTTCTGGTATGCTAAATCGCTTTTTCTCTGACATTCTGGAATGTTTCCCACTCTCCAGTCAATCTTGTTGAACATCTACGCTGATTTTATACTGTTAGTTTAGAATTATTGACTGTCTTCTAGTGTCTTGCTGTTCATACTGTCTCAGTGTGTTCACAAATACATGCAAACATACATAGATGATACATACATACGTCCTATGCACCTTAATTGTGTTCATTTTCCACACCTCTCAACAGCTATTGTGTTCATCTTCTCCATCTCTGTCCAGCTATATGCCATTTGGGGGTCGCACAACAGCAATTGTGTTCATCTTCTCCATCTCTGTCCAGCTATATGCCATTTGGGGGTCGCACAACCCTTTCCCAGGTGTCGCCCAAGACCATCAGAAAACACATATACTCTACAGTTATGACGTAGCAACCATGGTTTCTTTCAGCTATATCTCCGGGGAAAGCCAAGTGCCCCACCGGAGCAAAAATATATCCAACAATAAATCAACTGTAACTGCTGGCACTGACCCCCCGAAAAATCTGAAGTGCCCCCCCCCCCGGGTAAATTTCTGAAAGAAACACTGATAGCAACGAAAATAATTTTGACTAGAGGTATTCCTGTAGCGGTTTAGGACAAAACGTGCTGCTCGTCGCTGGACCGCCTCCAACCCGTCAATGCTCTTCTGGGTAAATGGGTCCCAGACTGAAGATGCATAATCTAAAATCGGACGGAAAAAGGCTTTATATGCTCTTTCTTTCACACAGGAGTTGCCAATCTTTAGATTTCGCCTTAGGAGCCCTAGGGTCTTGTTTGCTTGGTTACATACATTGTTAATATGCTCGTCCCAGCGGACCTCTCTTTGAATGGTAACACCCAGGTACTTTACGATGGAAACTTGCTCAAGTATATGGCCGTGCAG